GGGGAGGCAGAAATGAGGGTTGTTCTTGGTGGCATTGGTGTTGGTGGTGGCTGGAATTACCCTCCATCTACAGCCTCCACACATACACACCCATTTCAGGCAGTTCCTCCTTACAGGAGTGAGATTTCTGCCACGATGAGTGAGAGACTGGAGGGAGTTTGCAGGGTTTGATGCCAAATTGAGCGGAGTGCAGAGGAAAACCCAGCCAGGGTCCCAATGTGCTCTTTGAGAAAGTGAAGCCTCAGCTAGGAACAAAGGATGATAGAGAGCATCAGAGCCTGTTGAGAACAGATAGTGGGCAGTATGCCCAGGGCAGGTGGGCTCTGGGGCAGGGCCTTTCTTGTCTGGGATCTACAGGGCACCCAATGATGGTTGGGTAGTGGAGGGTGGACCCCTCCCTTCCTCAGTCACACAGCAGTCAGTAACTGATGTTCCACTGAAGTCCCTCTGATATCCCGTGCCTGTGAGGAAGAGATGTGTGCAGGTGCTGGCTAAGCCGCTCACATACACTAATAGCAACACCACGTCCGTTAGCGCTTACTAAATGCCATCTCTTGTTCTTAGCACTCAAATGCATTATCTCATTGAAGCCTCCCAATAACCCTATGGGACAAGAACTATTATTCCTATCTTGTAGAGCTGGAAACAGGGGCACAGAGAGATACAGGGACTTGTCCGGGGGCGCACACTAGTGAATGACAGCAGTGATCCCTAGGTATCTCCCAGACTAGACTGTGGAGGGAGTACCTGGACCCAGGCAGGGTTCCCTCCAAAGTCTGTGCTCTTTCACCCCATGATGCTGTCTCTGCTAAAAACGAGCATCTCAGCATTCTTTAGAATTGAGTTTGCTTTCATGCTGAAATGGTGAAGGAAATAGAGGCAAGACAGGACTCTAATAAATTCCAAACCCTGCCCAAACGATCAATGGGTTACTGCCTTGAATCAACTCTGTCAGGTAATTGTCTTCAGATGAGGCTGAGGCCTTATGAGGCCACGTGACTTACCCTATCAGTGAGATGCCCAGATCTGACTCTCATCTATTGACACTCCCTTTGCTCCCCCAGTTTAATCCCAGTGGTGATGGAAACCCACAGGGAAGCGATAACGATTATTTTATAATGGGGGAAAAATTCAAAGGGGGACCAGCCCTACGAGATAGTAAAATTTATGAAGCTCCAGTAATTAAAACTGAATGAACAGACAAGCATCTATGAAAACAGGAGAAGGTCCTGAGAGAGTCCAGAGGTGCCTGGGTATTGGGTGTGTGATAATGGTAGCTCTGCACGTCACCTGGGGGGAAATGACAGTTAACTGAGAGGTTCTTGGGGAAAAAGAGCAATGCTGGGTCCTAGCCTCAGACTGTACAAAGCAAATTCCAGATGTCTGAAAAATTTAGATTTTTAAAAAATGAAATAAAAGTATTAGAAGAAAATCTCAGAGTGAGACAAAACTTTGGAAGCATGACACAAACCCAGAATCCAAAAAAGGGAAGACTGGAAAATTTCAGCATATGATTAAAAAAAATTTCTTTATGCTTAAAAATGAAAAGGAAAGATAGACACTACCTTGGAGAAATATTTACAAGTTACATCACATACAAATGGCTAATCTCCCTAATAAAGAGCTGCAAAGCACCATGGGAAAAGACTGTCAACCCACCAGGAAAACAGAGAAGAGATAGGGCCAGAGAGTTCTTAGAAGAGGAAATCGAAATGGCTCTTAAAAGCATGAAAAGTGCTCAACTTCACTTGTATTAAGAAAATGCAAGTTAAAATTTCAATGAAATCTATCAGTTTTTATTTACTGGGTTGTAATGATCAAATAATCGTATGAAACCCTGGGCTCATGAGCTTGTGGGGGAGCAAGCATCCTCTTTCACTGCTGGTGGGAGTGTCACTTGGTACACTTCCTATGGGGGGGGGTTTGCAATCTCTCTCAGCATTGCAAATTGGCCCAGCAATTTGCACAGATAAATTACCTGATCTGTTGAATGGGTTCATGACAGGTTGATCATACCTGGGCTCTCCATCAGCAGGACCAACATCCAGGCAGGGAACCCAGGACAAAAGCAGGGTCCCTATAAGGAGATGCAGGTGAGGGCAGAACAGCCATCTTTGATGATGACCAGTCTCAGGTTCAAAAATCCTCCTCAAGACTGTCTCAGCCAACAAGGAGTAGAAAATTAAAGGTGGGAGAGGGACTTGGTTGGAGTAGCTACAATTGCAGAGGGGAGAGCAGAGGGCAGGATAGCAAATTAATAAAACCAGCTCTGAAGTCAGCAGGTGGCCCTGGGCACGCATCCTGGACCTGCCACTTTCTAGTTCAGGGACCCTGAGTAGGTTTTGTCACCTTTTAAAGGCTGTTTCCCGATCTGTGAGATGTAGATGAGAGTTATTATCTATCACAGGCTCGTGAGGATTAAATGAAATAATTCACGTTAAGCACATGACAAGCAGTAAGGACTCCCTAATATTTTAGCTAAATGATTGTTAAGTAATAAAGTGGAAATATTTGGGAGTGGGTGTGTATTTGCATGTGTCCAAAATAGAGCACCATGTGAAGCCCAGGCAGGAGTGTTTCTCTATAACTCAGAGACACTCTGATTCCTGTGCAGTTTCTTTCTGGAATTATGAAATAAGTGAGGGAAGAGGCTGCTGAGTGTGATAAAAGAGGGTGGAAAGAGAGACAGGGAGAGTCAGAGAGAGACCAAGACCGACCAAGACAGAGAGAGAGATAGAGAGGCTGATGGAAAGCCATCTCCTTCAGCAATTTGCCAGGAAAATAAAATTTTTCTTTTGAAATACTTTTCAAATGGTTACCATTATCCAGGGAGATTTATTCTGTCCTCTAGGAAGTGAGGCTCCATTTTCTTCTCTTTCCCACCCCACCACGTTTATGGAAGAAAATATCCCACACCAACCACGTCTCCCACAGAGCAAAACTGCAGGAGGCGGTAGGA